TTTCTCAGAATGCAGAACAGAAAAACAAAGAAAAACTTTGAAAACAAAGAAAAATAGAAATGCCATTAAGAGTCAGAGACGGTAGACAAAGGATTCTGTATACCTCTAATAGGTCCATCCAAAAGAGCAGAGTAGAAATATTTGATGAGATAATAGTTGAGAACTGTTTGAAATCAAACAAAGACACTGATTTCTCAAATCATAAGTACACTGCTCATCCTGAGCAGGACAAATACAGGTGGTTTATGCCTCTCTCCTGCTGCATTCTACTGAATTGTGGATGTGTTCCTCCATTGTCCCATCTGTTGTTTAGATGAAAAATTGTTCCTTTTGTAGGTAATATGTTGTCTTTCCATGGTATCTGCAAAGAGTCTCTCTTTATCTCAAAATTCCAGAGAAGGCTGCTCTTTTCTTGGTGCACTTCGCCTGGAGTCGGTGCTTGTTTGCCTCTTCCTGCCATCTAGGGCCTAAGATCTTGAGGGCTGTGATTAGGATGCAAGACTAGGGAAAAGGTAAGCAAGAGGTTCCTCAGCCTCCTTTTCGCCTCGGGTATCTAGGTAAAGTCACTCACGGCTCTTTCCAGATGGTGCACACCAGCTCAGAGGCAGAGACCCCATGCAAAGTTCTCGTGGCCTAAATCTTTTAGAAAGAATTCGTATTTACTTCCTTGGAGAATCCCCTTGGAATATCTTCTTTGTGAACTTGAGGCAACTTTTGGTGACTGCTCGAAGACTTGGGGATCTTGATCTGGAGCCATCTCTATTTACCGACTTTCTACTTCCGTGTCATTTTGCAGCCAGATTTTAAATAAGTTCTATGATTGTTCACTTAGAGAAATGAAATGACTTATAATATGAAGCTTCTGTGGTTCAGCCCTTGCTTTGTTCTCATTACTGCTTATCTGCATCTGCCTCCTGTGTGGAAACAAAAGTCGGGTTTAATTCTATCATTCCCACACTGAGTTTCTTACTTAGTAGTACTTTTCAATTAGGGATGTCCTCATTTTCCTTCATCAGAAATAACCATCAGACTAAACGTTCTAAAAGGATAAATCTGATCACACCCCACTCCTGCTTATAACATTTTAATGATTACCAGTAACTTTTTATTTTTTTCCACTAGATTATCTTTAACTACAGAGTGGATCTGGGTGTGCAACATAAGAAAGCCTGGCATATACATGGATTCTTTTTTGCGTCTTTTTCAAGTCTCTATTTCTTTTTAATTCATGCAAATTTTGCATTTGACTGAATTTGTTTAAAACAAATAAAAACTCATTCCCCAGATTGTTGTGTAAAATTGGCACTTCCGAAAAATGTTTTGTATTTTTCCTGTGGCCTCAGCACTCTGCTGTGCACTCCTATTTTTGTGTCCACATACATTTGTGTTGAGGAAGTACAGGAACCACAAGATAAAGTTCATGCTCCTGAATATTACATAAAAGGCCTTGTGACCTAGTCTTGCTGACTCTTCCCCTAGATTTCCCGCTATTCCCAGACTCGGAATTTTTTATCTGGATGCTTTGGGTTTTTCCTAAAATCAAAATGGGGTTTTTCTTTTTCTGATTACATAATAAATAAATGCTCTTTGTGTAAAACTTTAAGCAATACAGAAAAACCTAAGGAAGAAAGTCAATTGCTCTCCCCAGAGCTAATTATCGCAGATATTATGCTCACTCTGTCGCTTTCTCTCGATATATGTATATGTGTATGTGTATGTATGTATATCCATGTATGCACATTCATAGATGCATGTACACATATATACACATGCATACATAGACAAATATGTACATGCATATATTCATACACACATAATTCTACAGGCATAGGCTATAAATATAGGGGTTAAGTAGTTACCTTTTGTTTAGTTTCATAGTTTTTTTACCACTTCACCAGTTACCCAAACTGAATAACCAAAGTTAACAGCCAGGTCTGGCTCGCAGAATCTCATCCAAAGATACACATATATAGGCTTTTCTTAGGCAAATATTTAGGAAAGGTGGAATCTCTTTCTATGTACTCTACATCTACTTTATTCATTTAAAATTATATGACATTATACAAAAGCATCCAACTATAGATGCAACTCGTTCTCTGAAACTGTTGCTTCATTTTCTATGATGAGGCTATATCACAATATATGCAGTTAATCTCTCACCGATGGCAGTTAGGCTATTTCCAGTTTGTCCTTCTACTTTTCCTTCTTCTGGTTGAGTTTTCACTGAATGTGTTTATTAATTCAGAAAGGATCAATATTTTTATAATATGAAGTTTTCCCACCCAATAATATAGCGTCTAGTTCCATTTAGCCAGATCTTGTTTTATATCCTTTAATAAAATTTTATTGTTTTCTTCCTTTGAGTCACATTTTTTTGTCCAAATAATTCCTGCAAATTTTATAGTTTTTGGTCCTAGTGCACATTAAAAGCTTCTTTCTATTTCCATTGCTGGCTGGTTCTTTCTACTGTTGGGAAAAGCAATTGATTTTTTTTTTAAATGTTTATCATGTTTCTGGTCAGTTCACAAAATTCCCTTCATGCCTTTGAACTTTAATCCCCAGTTGTGTTGAATAATTCTAATTCCCCACACCACCTCTCTATGGCTTTACTCTTTCTGGAAAGTCTCTCCCCTATGTGACTGACTCATTCACACCACCCAGGCAGACTGAGCACTGCCCCGCCTCCTCCCGGAAGCCTTCCCTGACATCTCTGTGTTTGCAGGGCTCCTTATTTGCTCTCTCCTAGTACTCTGTGCATGCTTGCATTGTTTGTTTTTATTACCTTTCATCCTAGTTGTCTGTGTATAGTCTCGCTCAGTGGACTCTGAACTATGTGGAGGTATAGGTCAGGTCTTAAACAAATTGATGTTCTCAGAAGCTAGCACCATGTCTGGAACATAGTAAACTCTCAAAAAAGAAGGCAATTGAACTGCTCTGATTGGAAATAGCCATTAATGCCAGGCCAGGGAGACCTAATTTTTTAAGTGTCTCTGATCTTTTCTGCTACATTACTCTTGAGGTTTCTAAATAAGTTAAAGATGCTTGTTCTTTAAGTGTATAGCTCATGAAATTGACTTAACAATAGTTTGTTATGTGAAAATCATGATGAGGGTGAGGGGTTTGGACCAGCTACAGAAATCTTGATTCTTAATGGTGTGTGTGACAAGAATTCATTCATTCAATGAAGTAATGTATACCAAACTAAACTATAGCTCAGCAAACTAAAGGTCAGATGCTGTGCCAAGAACTGTAGATATAGAGATTCTCAAAATATACACGATCCTCTCAGGAAGCCTGCAAAAGCCAACAATAGGATTATACTATTTAAACAAAATAAGCAGCTTCTGGAATATAGTTTGAATAACTTCTGGCATTGGACACTGGTGACCACTCTTTCCTTATTGTATTTACTCCTATTTTGGGGATCCACTCAGCTACTTTTTCTGCCGGGGCTGCTGGCGGCAGCTCACGCTGTGCCTTTGCGAAAATTAGAACATGTCACAACTTCTTCTGGGCAGACTAGGTAAAAAAAAAGTTCTCATTTGTCCTATTTTTAACTATTTTCATTGCCTGGTCCGGCATATAATAACTTTATGTGACTTTATAATGAGTCAATAACCAGTTTCTTTCTTTGTTTTAAAAAAAAATGTGATTTTATTTGTTTATTTATTTATTTATTTATTTTTGGTAGGAGATTGGCCCTGAGCTAACATCTGTCACCAATCTTCCTCTTTTTCCTTTTTTTTTTTTCTCCCCAAAGCCCCAGTACATAGTTGTGTGTCATAGTTGTAGGTCCTTCTGGTTCCTCTATGTGGGATGCTGCCACACCATGGCTTGATGGCATTGTGTAGGTCCAGGGCCAGGATCCAAACCTGCGAACCCTGGGCCACCGAAGCAGAGTGGGCAGTCTTAATCACTCAGCCATGGGACTGGCCACAGAGTTTTCAATTAAAGGAAGGAAGGAACTGTTGTTTCAATTCTCCCTGCTACTCCTCCACTCCTCAAAAGTGGACTATGGTAGGCTGAAAAATGCCACTCACAGATTCCCACATCCCAACCCCTGGAACCTGTGAATACGTTACCTTGTATGGCAAAAGGGACTTGACATATGTAATTAAGTTAAGGATGTTGAGATGGGAAGACTATCCTGGATTGTCCAAGTGAGCCCAATGTAAGGGTCCTTAGAAAGAGGGAGGCGGGAAGGCCAGAGGGAGAGAAAATGATTTCAAGATGTTATGCTACTGCCTTTAAAGACGGAGGAAGGAGCCACAAGCTAAGGAATGTGGATGACCTCTAGAAACTGGAAAAAGTGGAAATGAATTCTCCCCTAACAACTCCAGAGAGAGTGTGGCCCTGCCAACACCTTGATTTTGGGCCCAGTGAAACTCATTTTAGACTCCTGACCTCCAGAACTGTAAGAATAAATATGTATTGTTTTAAGCCACTAAGTTCGTGTTCAGTTATTACAGTAGAAATAGAAAACTAATAGAAGGACCAAGTACCTAAGTTAAGGTGCTGAGTCCAATAGGCTGTTTGGGGGAGTATGATGACACTAACGGGGACAGGAAAACTCAACTAAGGCAGTTTGAAGCTAATAAAGCCAGAGAGGACAGGCCTCCACCTCATTTTATGGGGCTCAAAAGAGTCAAACTGGGAAGACCCAGCAGCAACCACAGTCCAAAATTTAAGAATCACAAATAGGACACAAATCCAAGAGTTAGGAATCAAGTGAGACTGGATTAGGAAGGGTCCAGGGTAGCTCCGTGGGAAGATAGCAGAGGAGCCGAAGTTCACATTCACTAGGCTGTGGGCACCAAATTCTTAAGGAAGGGCTAGCTGACTTAGCAGAACTCTTTAATGGGAACTTCTCATTTACTGAGGACCTACTACCACTTAGCCTAAGTATTTCATTTTATTTGCCCAATATCCCCATGAGTTGAATATTATAAGCTTTGCTTCACTAATGTAGAAACCAATTCAAAGAGGGTGTGTGAGTTGTCTAAGGCCACAGAAAACACTAGGAAGTGAAAGTGGGCTTGACCTCATCTCTCCAATCCCAGGAGCCTTGCTCTTTCTTCCACGCCGTGCCGCCTTCTTTTCAGGAAAAAGGCTTGTTGACTTTTTCGTTTGTATGCACAGTTCAAAGCAGAAAAACATGGTGTCATCTTTTGAGATACTCACTCTGTCAGTGAGAACTTGAAAATTAAGTTAAAAATTAAGCGGCAAAGCCAAACTCAGTCTCTCTGCTCGGAGAATGTAGGGCCAAACCTGATGCAGTCTCACTGTCACGCGGCTCGTTATTTATCCTTGTGAAACTCAGAGGTCTTATTTGAAAGGGAAGAAGGGATGGAAACTCCCTCTTTTTAGCCTCAACATCTAGGGGTTAAAATACTGGTTTAATGGTGAAGGTAAGTGCTTTTTTTCTTTTTGGGTCAGAAGATATTTACTAATTAACCGGAGATCCCTTAAAGGGAGGGGACAGTTTCAGGGGAAGTCAGAGGAAAAACATTAACGGCAGCCTAAAGATCTCCATCTGGGAATAGTTTCTGGTTCCAAAACGAAGAAGAGGCTTTCTAAAAACAGTAATCGATTCAGTCAAGATCCTAGAGCAAGGTTTGAGAGGCCGCCAGTACCAATGAACACTGTGGACGATGGCCACTTCTCCGAGGATTCCGTGAGTATTAACTGTGACACCTTGCTGGTTGGACAGCCTTTGGCTGTGGAATATAATACTGGATCAGAACTAACAAGGTTTGGGTCTGGGGACAGTGACTAATGAGTCTTTTCAGATTTCTATATATATTTGAAACTCTCCAGAAAAGGAGAGCATGGGCAAAGTTATGAATAAGATTGAAGGCAAGAAAACTTGTATGCTTGTAGAATTTGTTGCCCTTGTTGTACAGCTGAGGCAAGGTGCCCAGAGAGATTATGCTTAGCCCCTTTCTCTGATGGGGAACGCTAGGGGAAAAGACTCAGTGTAGGTGCCCTCTCCCAACTGCCAGGAGAAAATCCCCATTCCAAGACACAGTTGCGCTCTTATTGGCCTTGAAGACATAGCCTGAGGTTGTCGCTTAGAGGAAAGGTGCACAGTCACTTCTACATATCTCCTGATGGGCCAAGCCATGAGTTCCCTACAAGTAGTGCCCCAATTGCACCTTAATTTTGGCATAACCGTGCCTTCGAGGATTGCCTACTATTCATGCTCAGAACTCTTTTTCTTTTTCATGACTAAATTCATAAGTGAATTGACAGTATGACATAAATGATCTACTGAAATAATCAATTATAGTTCAGAGCTCTCAATCTTTCAGAAAGGTAGGCAAGGGACAAAGAGGGGCTCAGTTTTACTAACACGGAAGAAATGACTTCTTCCCATGTTCTCTGATGCATGTAGCAAGACACATCCCTTCTGCAACCATCTTGTGGATTCTAGTCCAGAAGAATCTGCTTTTATAAGGGAAAGTTTAAAATCAATTTAACAACCAATCAAAAGCATTTAAAAAGAGAAGAATTTTATTTGCTGCAAGCCTGTAGGTATGAATCTGATAGGGCCCAAGTCTGAATCTTGTGATTGTTTGTTATTCTTGCTGTTGTGAATACCAATGACATTTTACAATGTATAATATTTTACATTGAGAAGGCATGTCTCATATCTTTGTTTCACTCACAACAGTCCTGTGAAGTAATGTTATCCTCATTTTTCCTATGAAACAATTAAAGCTCTGGGAGCTTATGAAACCTGCTGAGGTTTATTCAAATTGTGAATGGCAGAGAAGAACTTGGTCCCTGGATACCCTTTGAACTGCCGGTTCATGCTCTTTCAACCACATGTAACATTTACTCTGAGTAAACGAAGAGACTGGGCTAACAGAGGTGATGCAAGACAGGCTGTATATTAGGGGAAATCCAAGAGCAATAGAAAGACAATTATAGCAAAATCAGGAGTTCTAGACTTAAAAGAATAGGAAAAAACTATTCTTTTGTTTATACATAAACTATATGTCTATATTATTAATTTTATATCAAATGCAACTCTATATTGTCATAAAATTATTTTTAAAATATAGAATTTTCCTTTAACTTAATTTCAATTCAACTTTTCTATGTCTACTTACAGCTTTAGCACTAGGATTCACGGTTTGTTAGAAGTGTCACTCCTGAGTGGGAAAGTCCTTGAAACTGTTTACAATTGGGCTAAGTCTCATTACACTAACTCTAAGTGCTTATCAATCATGCCAGTGTTTAGACCTCATAATTTCATATGCTTCTGTGATTATTTTTTAAAAATAGTTTCCAACACTACATCACAGAAAGACCCTAGTTTTGAATTGTTCAGGATGTCCACCTGACATCTGTATTTGTCTCATGCAAAGGAAACAGGGAAATTAACAACTGAAATTAGCTATTGAGACAAAATTCGAAGTAGCATTTGAAACCATGAAAGCTAAGAAAGGGATTGAATGGAATGGGAATGGCAACTAAAGTAATAGGATTATGATATAATTTTATTAACCAAAAGAACAAGAATAAGTAGTTGTTTTTATTTTTCACGATGTTCAAAGCTCAACTTGAAAGTATTTTCATCATCAAATTTCCTTCTGGAATAAATGACTAAAATTTAATTTGAAATCATATAAGTTCCCATCTGGAATGATTCCAAGTGAAGCTACTCTATTGTGTTTTAAGCTTGTGTTTAAGATATGAACATAAAGGGGACACAGTAGCAACACATAGAAAAAGCAGCGATCTGGGCATTGGGAGACCCGGGCCGGCTCAGAAAACTCAGTGACTGAGACAGTTTTTCAAACTTTCAGCACACCAGTTTTCTCATCAATAAAATGAACAGTTGGGCCAGAAGATCTCTGAGTCTCTTTCAGCTCTAGAGTTCAGAGTTGGTATGATTTATTGGAGAGCTTGGTGGGAAAGCTTTAAGTGGAGTAGAGCTCCTTGTAGCTGCATGTACAGTCAAAAAGTTGCCTTCAGCCAAGTCTTGAGATCTTAACGAGGGAAATCTAATAGAAAATGGTCCAAACTCTGGGTCGACTAGGTGTCTATTCCAGTCTGCTTCAGCTAAGATCTGAGTGTAGAGCGCAGAGCTGAACTCCTGACATCATCCAGTTGTTAGCAAGACTTGAAAGTCTTTCAAGGTAGAGCAAAGCCAACATGTTTCCTGGTTCTGAACTTCTCTTGTTAGCAGTTGGGCATCTATTTTGGTCCGTTGTAATCAAAGAAGAAAATTTCAAAACTTAGATGGGGAGATCTTATTCTCAGAATTCTAGAGATATTTGACAAGCAGAAAGCTATTCTGACTATGCTAATAAAGCCTAATTATTATTCTCTCAAAGACATGTAGCTTCTTCTGGGTATAAAATGAGTATCTACTTATTATAAAAAAATCACTTGGTAAATATGGAAAATCATAAAGAATAATATGGCCACCATGTTCTGTAACCCAGAAATAGCCATGGCTGGCGCTTATGTGAATCTGTTTCTCTCTCTGTGGATGTGCGTGTATCAATACAGGCATAGTGCCTGCTTTGTATACTAGAGTACAAGCATTTCCTTAATGTTACTCAACATCTTTGAAAACATTATTTTCATAAAGTCCATCATAAGCATCTATTAAAAATGACTCACTAAACCCTTATTGTTTGGTTAATTTGTCTCAAATATTATGCTGTAATAACTAATACTGCAAAGAATATTTTTTGACAGAATTCTTCATCTGTATCTTTCCTTACAATCCTCCCTCTTAAGGTCATAGATTGTGAACATCCTTAAGGGTGCAGATAAGTCTTGTTAAATTTATGTGCAGAAAGAATGCAAAGCTTTAAATGATGAAACATAAGCATGATACATACATTTGTAAAGTTGTGGATGCTTTAGTTTAGGAATGGCTGCAAAATTGTCAATATTCTTAGGATGAGTATTATTCCTCAAATAAGTGTATGTATCCTAAAAGAGAGTTTGACTGGTGTACAAGTATCAAAATGTCCACTTTGGAGTCACGAATTCTCTTTACCTGTCAACGTAGCTGAATTTATTCAAAATTGTAGTAGGAAGCAACCATTCAACATGATTTTACAGGTGATTTGAAGACCTTTTCAGTCCAATAAAGTGTCCAACTTAAGCGAAACAAAGACAAGAATAAGTATTTTAAATCTTTAAATGTAATACATATAAGTGATAGGCAATGTCGCCCTTCACATTCAAAGAAGACACTATCGAACGTTGTTCTGGTTGTACAGAGGGACAGAAATATGGTCAGAATGAAAGAAAGGGCTGCCTTGGAACTTTTCTCCTCAGCTCTTGAGGTTAATTTAGCTTTCCTCTCTTCTGACCTGCCTCGAGCCATAATACTCCTTACTTGTGCATGGTTCTCTGTGGTTTGCAATGTTCTCATTTCATTCTTGCAGCACCACTCAGAAAGAGACTTATTTTTGTTGGACAGATGAGGAAATGGATGGTTAGAGAATTTAAATCACTAGCTCTCAGTCATGTAGCTGAGACTTACAGCCAGATTTTCTTATAAAAATCTAGGTTTCCCTAAGCATAGCATTAAAGAAGTGTACTGTAAGATGTAAATCCTACAGCTGTGTTGGATCAAAACTTTTATTGATGCTGAGAGAAGGCAACATTAACACGAGAAAATTATTTGTGTCTCATGTTTTGGATTGTTGGTCTCCCCATAGATAAAAGCCGGTCGTCGTAAAAGAGATTCAGGGCAGAGGGAAACTCCACCACAAAGTGTGGTACTCTTTCCCAGAGAAGCCAAATGGACGAGAAGCCTTCCACCAGGAAAGGTAAAGCTGTCTCTCTTGTTTGCAGGCTACCTTGAGGAAGAGTGGAAGCTTATTTCCAGTGTTCTTTACACATCCTTGCTCTCCTCTCCTCCTTTTTCTACCATGTCGCCCTGTTGTTGAGACTCAGTATAATATGGAACCAACTCCAGCGCCTCATCCTGTTGCCTGCTGCTTTTTCATTAGGGACCCCCACTGAGTTATCTATCAGAAATTAAGCCAAATGATCAATAAACCCTGGGACATAAGGAATGGAAAGAGTCTTGAAAAGGTCATTTTAAACAAACCTCAACCCATGCATGAATTCCTGCTATAATATCCTTGCCAAGTAGCTGGCTCTTTCCCCTGAGCTTGAAAACCTCCAGTAAGATGGAACTAATTATCTTGCAAGCAACTAATCCTATCCCTGTGCCTATTCGGCCATTAAAAATTATTTCTCCATTATATTTTTCTCTCTTTCTGCATAGGTTCTCTCTCTGTTTCTCTGTAGTCCCAGTTCTCCAAATATGCAGGAAAAAATTGAATCCATTATTCACATGGGAATTCTTTCAATATTAGTCCATTGTTCCACTTCGTGGGGACTTTTTAAAAAAAAATGTGTTACTCTTGTGACATACTGAACACTTCTCCAGCACCATATCACCAACACACTCAATAAAAATGATTGTCCATATTAATTTTTTGGAAAGCTGAAGGTATGTGAAGGCAGGGCCTAGTGACACACAACAAAAACATTTCCAGGTAAACCTTACACTAAGGCGTTAGTGGAAGTGCTCATTTACACACTGTCTCTCAGCTATTTTAAAAGAGAATCCTTAGATGTTGGATTAGCTTAATTCAAAGGCAGCTCTCTAAGTATAAAGTTTCAAGCTTTATGGTAAACGAATACGCAAAACAGTTGAGACCATTGACTTACAGGTGGGAGACTTGGGTTTTGTGGCTGGCTCTGCCACCATCTTCCCCATTCGCTTTATTTTGAAGCACTATGACGTAAATGCCTTCATTTAGGTTCTCCTGTATTTATCATCTGCTTCTCGCACCTCTGAAAAGAGGCCATATTTTCTGTACTTGATTGTAAGATTCCAGATTTACTGTCTTGAAGCAAACTAAAGAATATGACAAAGGAGGGTGGTAGTTGTGATTATTTTCATGAAAAAAGACAGTGGGACTGCATGAGATTATCTGAAGTTTTTTCAGATTTAGCCATGGGAAAAATAGAAATAAAGCAATTTCAGTCCAGGATACTCACTGCATACTTCTGTGTTATTCTCTAGGTCCAGATTTCTGTTCATTGCGCTATGGACTGGCTCTCATCATGCATTTCTCAAACTTCACCATGATAACACAGCGTGTGAGTCTAAGCATTGCAATCATTGCAATGGTGAATAGCACTCAGCATCATGGTCTATCCAATGTCTCCACAGAAGAACCTCTTGCAGAAACCCTTAATAACCCCAGCAGATCCTTCAAGAAATTTAATACAGGGGTAAGTATCACATGTTCACTTTATATTTGTATGAGAATCATGATTATACCCTATTTAAAAATTTTTCTTTTAAACTATCTATCATTTACTCTACGTTTCTAATGTCATCCTCGTATTTCATGATTTTATTATCTTGGACACAGCTTACTTCAAATGCCCTCCTGCCTCCAGTCTTTCTTCCATTGTTCATTCTATACATTCACACTGCTGTACTCAAAAATCTGGGGTAACTTCAAGTTGCCAAACTCCTTTCTCGACTTGCTGTGTTCCTCCAGAATCTGGTCCCATTTCTCAGCATACTCATACCTGCTACCAATGGCCCAGGAGGTCTTTGTTCTGAGTAAATCAGAGTGCTGGTTAGATTCTGATCATTCAATATCATTCCAAATGCTACAAGTCCACTTTTGCTGTTTTCTTCAATAAGAATGAATTTTCCTATTTCTCTTTATACAAATCATAGTCATTCTTCAAAGGATGGTTCTAGTACTCCTTCCTTCCTGGGACCCTCCCAAATTGTTCTTTCCTCTTCTCAATGTCTATATTTTAATGATGTTTATCCTCAAACTTGACATCTGACATGAATCATACATCATGCATTATTTATAGTTATTTTGAGTGGATAAAATATTTCATATCTTATTTTTTTTCCTCTGTACTTCATTCTATAGCATGATGCTATATATCTAGTGGGCTACCAAAAATTATTTATTGGGTTACATTAGAAGAAGAATATGATCTTATTAATGTGTCATATGTATTTCAGGATGTCAGCTCTGCCAGGCAGACCATAATTCCTAAACTTGATCTTAGAAAGTGATTTTGATGACAGTTCAGCATATTTGTGTTTTTCTTATTCTTTGAAATGAGTTGACATGTCACCCAACTTTTACCAGAAGCAAAACAGTTAAAGGAAGCTCTTTCACACATGCAATATCTCTCAACGGCTCTTTTCGTTTATATTTTACTATCATCCATCTGTATAATCATTTCTTTATCTCTTTTCTTCTTTATTTCCTCTGTTTTTTTCTCCCTCTGAGAGAAGCAAATTAGGGGTATAATTGATTGTTTGTTTGGAAAGGTGGAATGCAGTAGTCCCCCGGATCAGTGGTTTTGCTTTCCCATGGTTTCAGTTACCCACAGTCAACTGTGGTCTTAAATATTAAATGGAAAATTCCAGAAATAAATAGTTCATAAGTTTTAAGTTGTGTGCTATCTGAGTAGCATAATGAAATCTCCCACCATCCTGTTCCATCCCACCCAGGCCGTGAATCATCCCTTTGTCCAGTGTATCCACACTGTATACGCTACCCTCCTCTTGGTCACTTAGTAGCTGTCTCGGTTATCAAGATGGTCTGGTATCACAGTGCTTGTGTTCAAGTAATCCTTGTTTTATTTAATACTGGCCCTAAAGTGCAAGAATAGTGATGTTGGCAATTAGGATATGCCAAAGAGCAGTGGTGAAGTGCTTCCTTTATGTGACAAGGGAAAAGTTCTCGACTTAATAAGGAAAGAAAAAAATCATATACTGAGGTTGCTGAATCTACCATAGGAAGGAATCTTCTATCCAAGAAATTGTGAAGAAGGAAAAAGAAATTCATACTAGTTTTGCTGTTGCACTTCAAATATATAGGGATGGGAAAAAACGTAATATATATAGGGTTCAGTACTATCCATGGTTTCAGGCATCCACGGCGTCTTGGAACATCTCCCCCCATGGATAAAGGGGAACTACTGTATTTAACTCAGGTAAAAAAAAATAGAAGAAAACCAAAATCGATATTTTATAGTAAGGTCTCACCAACGCCAAGCAGCTCTGGCTGTAAAGTAGACTTTTATAAAAGAACTTCTTAGCAAAGAATTTTCCTTTTCTTTTTCCCTAGGCCTCTGTATATGAATGGAGCCCAGAGACTCAGGGTATCATCTTTAGCTCCATCAGCTATGGGATAATACTGACTCTGATTCCAAGTGGATATTTAGCAGGAATTTTTGGAGCAAAACAGATGCTTGGTGCTGGTTTGCTGACTTCCTCCCTTCTCACCCTCTTTACACCACTGGCTGCTGACTTCGGAGTGATTTTGGTCATTGTGACTCGGACAGTCCAGGGCATGGCCCAGGTATCCAGATACTTTCTCATTCTGAGTGGAATGCAGATGCCTGAATTCTACTAGAGATCAAAGATCTTAATGATTTTCATTTTAGGGAATGGCATGGACAGGTCAGTTTACAATTTGGGCAAAATGGGCTCCCCCACTTGAACGAAGCAAGCTCACCAGCATTGCGGGTTCAGGTAAGAATGCAAATACGGATCACAGCTTTGTAATCGGCTTCCCCCACCACATCTTTCCTTCTATGCATGGGATGACTTGGGGAAGATGGAGAAAAGTACTTCCAAAAAATTCAACTATGTAAGACAGTTACATAACAAATAAGAAAGCTACGTCTGTGCTGGAAAGCCACTGAGGCTCAGAAGCAGAAAAGATCATTGTGAGCTAGGTAGTCAGAAAAGCATTGTAGGAAAAAGTTTAGAACTTTAAGAATTTGTATGAATGGAAAAAGGTCAAGTAAACTGTATAAACACCATTTTAGGAAAGATATGCAGGTGGAAATTAAATCTATTAGAATTCAGAGTCGTGGGGTGAGAAATCAGGCTGGAAAGCAGAGTTTAAAGAGCCCACTTTATTCTGAGCTCTTTACTATTCAGAGCTAATCCTCACAACCTTCTCATATAAGTACTATTTTTAACTCTCATTTTACAAAGGAGGGAATTAATTTATGCAGAAATTAAGTAATTTGCCCAAATACAAATACCAGCATGTGGTAGAACTGAGATTTGAGTTGGATCCCAGGGTGTATACTCTCAAACACCATACTGGACTGCCTCTCCATAGTCTGTGATTATACTAAGGACTTGACAACTTGATCATTGCTATTTGCTGCATCTGGTAGCCCTGAGAGTGTATCCTTGAAGAACAGAACTGAGGTTCCATCAAGCCCACACTCCTAGGTCCAATGCATGGCTGCATCCTGCAGATTTTTACTTCAAAGCAACCCTCTTGTGTTCTGGCTCCTTCAATTGCGGTTGTCACCATCTCCTCTATCTACAAATGCTCTCTCCTTTTGGCCTTCTCTCTTCTCCAGCTTTATTTTCTCCAACCTTCTCTTCCCATCAAAGCCAAGTTATTTCCCTAAAGCACAGATGGGGCATTTTTGCTCACCTGCTTGGGGACCTTCAACATTGTCCTCCACGATTTCAGATAAAGACTGACCTTCTTACCGCATGGATATAAAGATGCTCTGCCATATGGTCCCAACCTGCTTTTTTCACTCAACATCCCTTTGTAAGAAAGGCTTAGGTCACACCATATACAATCTGCACTTAATTTCTCTCTGGCTCTATTTCGACTGGCTCATTTTCCTGGAAAGTCCTCTGCTCCCAGTTTCTTTTACCAAAATTCCATCCATCCTACTGCTTAGCTTATGTAAACAATTCATAAATCTTATCATTAGCTTTAATTTTCCCCTCATGTTACTTTCATAGCACATTGTAGTTGTATTATCATATTTATATTCCACATCCTTTTTTTTTTTTTCAAATTGTAGATTGGGACCCATTGAGGGGGTCATAAAATCAATTTAGTGGGTCAAAACCAGTATTTAAAAATGAAAGTGAATAGAATAGAATAGAAAATGTTGGAGCACATTGCACATGGTAAGGCTAAGTATTGAAATTTGAAACTTGTTTGAGGAGTGTGTATGTATGTGTGTATATTGGTATATGCATTTTGTTGCCAAGTAAAATGCATTTCTTGTTCTGGGTCTCTGTAAAATATATTCAGACTCCAAGGTCTACATTGTTTTACACCTGTAATAGTGAATTTTGTTCACATTTTTCTCTCCAACTGCACTGAAATTTCCTTGAGAGCAAGGACTGTATCTTATTAACTTTTGTAAGTCTTTCCTTTTCTGTCATCAACCTTTGATTGCACCCTGCCAGAATGTAACTCTAATTCTAAAGAAATACAGGTGGGCTGTGGTTGCAGACAGTTTCTATGATAAACTAAGTCATTTGTGTTTGGTTACATTGCTGTTAAGAAGCCACTGAAGTGTCAGGAGGCATATCATTATTATTAATTCTAATTACTTCCCATGACTTTATTGGGGGAGGTCTGTGAGTAGGAAGAAAGACTCTTGTCACCCAGTGAGTCTGAGTCTGCCACCTCACTGTTGGGACAATGTCCAGGGAGGCCACTCAGTCTCAGCCTTTGCTATTTTCCTGAGTGTCTTTTCCCTCTCTTCTTTTCAGGGGCAGCATTCGGGTCCTTCATCATCCTCTGTGTGGGGGGACTAATCTCACAGGCCTTGGGCTGGCCTTTTATCTTCTACATCTTTGGTGAGTCACTTTCTCTTAATCATAATGCCTCCATTTCCAGGCACTCGTTTTGATGCCTGCATTACCCATCATCCACGTTCTTCTCATATGGGGGAAAATTTCTTTTGTTAACGGAAAACAGTGAAGAGTGTTGAGGACTGGGAGTTTTCTTACTCTAGTCTAGGAGATGACAGTATGCATGGAGCTGACTTCTGAGATATGAGGAGTGGAACCTTACACTTCTACCCAGGCATCTTCTGCAGAATCTGTACCACCACATCTGAAATGCCAGGTCTAGTTGCTGTATGTGGTTAAGATATGAAAGTAGGTGGAATATACTTTAAACGTGTCTTCATATTTCGTTATAATTTTTATTTCTACCAAGATGCTCTTAACCTATTCTCTACCAGGTGAAACTTATAAAGCTCAATTTAAATGTCACCCTCCCTATGGGGATTTCCAAGGTCTTATCCCATCAGATTCGGCCTGTCTGCTCCCTACGCTGCCTGCCAATATTTCTTCTCTATGCTGTATTGTGTTTAATTATTTATTTCTTCTTCTCCCGCTCCACTAGACTATAAAATGCTTAAGGCATGGAATTCATTCTGTAATGTTTTTTATCGCTTTGGTACTATCATAGTTCCTGGCTTATAGCTTTATAAATAAAAGAATGGATGAATCCAGTAATTAGTGGGAATTTAAAGAACATTAATCCCCAGAGTCTTTTAACACTGAACTTCAAATACAAATCTCAGCAATGAGATGAGTTTCTGTTCTATTATTATAACCAAATGGCTCCATTCATTATGGTTCTGGCTTGGATGGCTTTCTCATTAATGATGCTAATCCCAGGTCATTTTGGCTCATATATGTTAATCAAGTATTGTCAAGAAACATTTCTTCTGGAAATCCATAATGAATGAGTCGTTTGAATACAAATAACACTGTCTTTTGCAAATGCATTGGAAATTTTTCCTTGCCGTACTGATTTTATGGCAGTTGTTTCATGTATGTATGACTACTCTCTTCTTCAATCCTGACTATTCAAATCTTACAAAATAAGACAGTAGTGTGTATATTAAGAAATTGCTGCTAACAACATATAACACTATAACCATTGGAGTTTAAGAGTGATTAGTCAGCTATGCAATGGTACATTCATGCTCGTGCCATCTCCAGAGGGCTCTGACATTGACAAACGGCACTCTATGTTTGAGAAGTAGCATCTAGAGAGGTTTAGCTAAAAGGAGATTTGTAGAAAAATCGAAATAAAGAAGAGGGAAAATTTAGGTCTTTATGGTGGAATAACCTTGAATTGATATGTGTGTTTTGGGGGAGAGGTATGCCACTTCAGAGGAAACTCCCTTCCCCCAGCACACCAATCTACCTGAAAACTAATTGGGTCCTGGCTTCCCAGGTATCATTGGCTGTGTCTGCTGTCTCCTCTGGTTCACGGTGATTTATGATGACCCCACGCATCACCCATGCATAAGTGTCAAGGAAAAGGAATACATTATGTCTTCACTGGCTCAACAGGTACAGTGCCTCCCTTCAACTTGTGGACCATGCAGAGATCTCCAGGGCAGGGTGTGGGGCTCCCAGAAGAGGCACCCTGTGGTCTGTTCTAATAGCCCTGTTGACTAGATATTTCCTTTCAGCCCAGTTCTCCTAGACGATCTGTCCCCATAAAGGCTATGGTCAGATGCCTACCACTTTGGGCCATTTTCATGGGTTTTTTCAGCCATTTCTGGTTATGCACCATAATCATATCATACCTACCGACGTACATCAGTTCTGTGCTCCATGTTAACATCAGAGATGTGAGTATACTTCTGATACTTCTATGAAAACGATAATGGCAATAAGGAGAATTAGTTCTATGCTGCCTACTACATCCTGGCTTTTCACATAACTGCTAATTTACCCCTCACAGTGACCTTAAGAGAGGCACAGTAATGGTTCCCATTGCACAGGGATAGAATAGGGATCTATAGACTTGCCCTGGATTACACAACTACTCAGTGGTAGAGCTGCTACAGCATCTGTGTTCTTAACCACTATACTACACTACCACACTAGCTGATTCTTCAATTTCCCTTAGGAATTAGTATTACTTTTCTCTGGAGACTGGTGTAATTCAAGTGCTGGCCCTCTTAACTTAAACAGTGTTCTTCTCATGTGGAAAAGGATGCTAATTTTCTTAGAACAACTCAGAATGTCAGGAGGGTGGGCTAATGGTTGGTCAGTACAACTGATAAACCTCGGTGCTATATGCACCTCTGTACTCACTGTCTACATTTCCTTCCCTCAGAGTGGGGTTCTTTCCTCCCTGCCTTTTATTGCTGCCTCAAGCTGTACGATTCTAGGAGGTCAGTTGGCAGATTTCCTTCTGTCTAGGAATCTTCTCAGATTAATCAACGTACGAAAACTCTTTTCATCCCTAGGTAAGGATAGGCGTATGGGCTCGGTTAACCAATCCCTTTTTCCACGCATGGTCTGAGAGGGTTCCTGATGGCGTCTCCTCATTGCCCAGGGCTTCTCCTTCCATCGCTATGTGCTGTGGCCCTACCCTTCGTGACCTCCAGTTACATCACAACCATGATTTTGCTCATACTTATTCCTGGGACCAGCAACCTGTGTGACTCGGGGTTCATCATCAACACCTTAGATGTTGCCCCCAGGTAAGACCTTTACTTGTTTGTTCCCCTCCTCTTGGCCCTTCCAAAGATGTTAGGCCTCAGTCTTCTTCTCGTAACTCCTTCATGTTGTTGACATGCTCTAAATGATGGCAGAATAGTGAAAAATAACTAGAAATGTCAGTATGTGGACATGACTTAAGATATATTTAGAACAACAGTTCCCAATCTTGGCTAGTAATCATTTAGATGAAGAGCTTCCCAAGACTCCCCACAGAGGTTTGACTGTGTTCCAGGAAACGGCCCACAAATACGTGTTTTGGAAAAGCTCCCTGAGTATCAATAATAGTATCTATCTCATATGTGTGCACTTCCCATGAGCCACATCCTATCCAAAGGATTTCTCATATATCAAAACATCTCATCCTTACAACTACATGAGGCAGGCCCTATTGTTATCCTTACTTTATAGGGGAGAAGACTGAGGCACAAGAAGGTTAAATGATATGCCTAAGGTCACACAACGGCAAAGCCAAGATTTGGACCGAGGCAGTTTGTCCAGAGTCTATTGTCCTTCCCACTGCACAAGCTACCTGCCACGTTGAGCAGTTGGGGTAGGAACTTAGCCTCCCAGGAGACTGAATTGTTTCCTGGTTGTTGACTGGACAGCTGGGTGATTTCGGGGTTGGCAAACAGACATTGCCCTGAATGCCTTTAGGTGAATGAAAAACTTCATTGGGCAAAATGACTTTGCCATTAGATTGAACAGCATTAAAGTTGAGTTTCTGAGGGGCTGGCCCCGTGGCTGAGTGGTTAAGTTCACGCGCTCCACTGCAGGCGGCCCAGTGTTTCATTGGTTCGAATCCTGGGCGCGGACATGGCACTGCTCATCAGACCACGCTGAGGCAGCGTCTCACATGCCACAACTAGAAGGACCCACAACGAAGAATATACAACTACGTACCGGGGGGCTTTGGGGAGAAAAAGGAAAAAATAAAATCTTTAAAAAAAAAAAAAAAGTTGAGTTTCTGAAAAGCTATGGGAAGCTTTCTATATTAAATCATCTATAATGTCGTCTCCCCACAGATATGCAAGTTTCCTCATGGGAATCTCAAGGGGATTTGGACTCATCGCAGGAATCATCTCCTCCACTACCACCGGATTCCTTATTAGTCAGGTTGGGCCTGTTTATTGACCATCTGCAAGTGGCAGGTATTGTTTTAGGCACTGGAGACACACAATAGGTCCTTTGCTCTCAAGGACTGTATGGTCTGGTGGGGAAAACAAGTGTGAATGTCAACACAATTACTCTACTCACAGGGGACTCTAAATCAGAGTGTGGTGGGTCAGGTTTCCCAGGGAAAGAAAAATATAAGCTGAATTTCTAAATATGAATAGATGTTAGGTTGATGAAAATCAGCAGTTCAGGCAGAGGAAACAGCGTATAAGACTTTCTAGAGGTATAAAAGCATGAAACAGTTCTTAGTTATGACCAGAGTGAATGGCACATGTCAAGAAATGGTAAGAGATGAAGACAGAGGAGCAGAAGGGGAAGATTATGAGAGTCTGTTCAGAGTAATTCTAATTTAAAAAAAAAAATCACAAAATGGAAACAAAAATTGTCCTAAGGCCAGTTTAAAGAGAGGTTAAATCATGGGTGAAAAGAGAATGGCTGTGAGACAGAGCAGAGAACATGGGCCATGAGGCTTGCTCAGTGGGGAGTGTGGGCTGGTAGGGAAGAGGAAAAGGCAGAATCAAGCTGGGATGGAAAGATGGCAAAAGTAAATTTACCAGAAAAAGTTTTGTTTTAATACCTCTTTGTATGATCTAGTTTCTAGGTTAATTTTTCACCAAATTGCTAGGAACGCACTATGACTATAATGCCGGAAATGAACTATGACTTACAAGGGCTTGGTGAGGAGGATCATATAGGCAGACTAACTATAATTTGCATTGTATTGCAATATCTTTCTAAGTGGTTGTTGTGATTGATGGCAATAGCCAGAAACAAAACAAAACAAAACAAAACAGAGAGAACACAAGACTGAGAGCTTTTGTTTTTTGGCTGAGGAAGATTCGCCCTGAGCTAACATCTGTTACCAATCCTCCTCTTTTTTTTAACTTGAGGAAGATTCACTCTGAGCTGACATCTGTGCCAATCTTCCTCTATTTTGTATGTGAGTCGCTGCCACAGCATGGCCACAGACGAGCGATGTAGGTCCGTGCCTGGGAACTGAACCTGGACCATGGAAGCAGAGCACGCCCAACTTAACCACTAGGCCACAGGGCTGGCATCCAACAATGAGATCTTGAAGATGTTATTTTAGGCATAATTTTAAATGAGTAATGTAATATTTTCACAAACACTGAGATCCAAATTTCCAGGAAAATATTAGCATAGATTAATTTATTTTAGTTTAAAGATAAATCCATCCCAACCCAGAACCCAATGTTTATTTTAGACTCATTTTGTTCCAACAGTTTAATGAAACCCTCTTTGATAATTTAAGATAAGTAGCTATTGCACATTGTTGATAAATGTTGCAATACACAAAATGGAAGACTTCTAGAACTGGTAGAGAAGGAACTTATGAGACTGATAATTCTGTTTTTTGCCTCCAGGATTCTGTGTCTGGATGGAGGAATGTCTTTTTCCTGTCTGCTGCTGTCAACATGTTTGGCCTGGTTTTTTACCTCACATTTGGACAAGCAGAAATCCAAGACTGGGCCAAAGAGAGGACCATCACCCGCCTCTGAGAATACAGAGTTACAAACTTAAATGTAGTACTGACTATAAACTTTTCAACATTTTTTACTTATCGTCATTCTTTTTTCATATTCTTCATCATAGACTCCACAGTTCTCAACTCTGGTTGTATGTTAGATTTCCCTGGGGAGTCTCTAAACTATAGCGATGAATGGGCCCTTCCCCAGAGATTCTGAATGAGTTGGTCTAGAGGAGAGCCCAGATATCACTAATTTTTTAGATACTTCCCAGAGTTTCTAACATGCAGCCAGGGTTGACAACTGCTGGACAAACTTGAAACGTCAATTCCTGTTGCCTTTGAATTTTCCTCTTTGGAAAGTACTGGATGAATAAAAATCTATGTGAAAATAATCACTGATAAGTACCTTCATGGGGGTGATTACGGACACAGAGAAGCTCTGCTGGGAACTGTAACTGTGTGTTCTACAGCTCAGCACAGAACAGGATGTTTAAAGCTGTAATCTAGAGAACTAACATTTTTATTGTTTTTATACATTGTGAAACGTGGATGTTTATTTATGTGGTTAAATTCTATTAAAATTCACATACTAAAATTAAGTAGATCATTTTCAAATTATTTAAATTAGGATTATTTCCATCAGGCAAAACAGGTATTTACTTTCCTGGCTAAATTCCAGAAGATTAACGACCAGGAAATGACAAGGACAAGAGGAAATGAACAAGGTTAACTAGACATCAGGGAAGAGAGAAGATAGAATTGGAAAGCTTGCACTCTGAGGAGAATGTACGTGAGCAGAGGCAATGTGGGCACTTCCAGAAGGGATAATGAGATGGTTTGGACCATATGGTGAAAATTGGAGGGAGACCATAGAGGTGCTTTCCAATGAAATGATGACTTATATGGGAGAGAAGAATACTGAAGGTATAGCAAGATGAAAGACAGCATACCACATACCAGAGCAGTTTCTTTTCAGGGTAGGGAAAGATCATTTGACCTTCTTCATATTTTCCTTATTTTCCAAGATTCTCAAATAGACATCATCAACCCCACCAGGTATTAATTATGGTTCCTAACACTTAAAACACACCCTCTAGGTTTTCTCCACACCCAGAGCTGAGTTTGGTTTTACCAACAACTGTTCCAGAGGAGAAATTCCCACCATATTTAGGAGCCCAGGAGAACCACAGGGACTAAAACCTTGGGCTAATTTAGCAAATGAAGAGACTCTCCTAATGCAAATCGACAGGTATTTTTAAGCACGTGTTTTAAGGAAAATACCTTTGTCAGGCCTTGAGGTGATGCCAAGCTGAGAACACTCTGGCTCTGCCTTCTGGGTATTTACAATGCAGAGAGAAAGGAGAGTTTGTAGAAAATAAAAAGAAGACAAAAAGAGGGGTGGTATAATGAATGGACAAGTTAAATATAGGAAAAAAGGCAGCGAACCCAATAGAAAAGTGGGCAAATGACTTGAACAGAGACACCATAAAAGAGAAATTCTAAGTGCTTTATAAGCGTATAAAGAGGTGCTCAGCTTCACGAAATATTAGAGAAATGAAAATCAAAACCGCAATGAAATGCTACTACATACTTAATGAAACAGATAAAATGAAAGAAGATGGAAAACAACAAATGTTGGCAAGGGTGGAGCAACTAGAACTCTCACACTCTATGGGTGTGGGCATCAATTAAAATTTGGAAAGCTGCTCAGTAATATCTCCTAAAGTTGCATGTAGACATTCCAATGACTTAGACATTTCACTTAGAAATGCACATAAACATTTGTAAAAAGATGTACAACAATGTTTATAGGAGCACTATTTATAGCAGCCCAACAGGAAACAAATTGTCAAGGAAAGAACTAGTAAGTAAATTATGGCTTATTCATACAGCAATGAGAATAAACAGACCACAATACACAGCATCATGGATGGATCTCGTAAACAAAGTGTTAAGTGAAAGAAGACAAAAGCTTCTTTTAAAAGTTTAAATAGAGTTTTTCAAAATAGAAAAACTAATCTATCCTGTTAAAAATCAAGTCAGGGCTTCCTCTTGGGTAGAGATGGAAGCAGTGACTGGACAGGGGGAGCTGAAAGGAGGCTTCTGCCATGCTGATAATATCTTTATTACTTGACTCGGGTGCTAATTGCATGGGTGTTTTTACTTTGTGAAAAGAACGCATTTATGATTTGTACTCTTTTATGTATGTAAAAAGTAAAACATTTACTTAAAATAAATTCAGTGTTTCATCCATTTCAAAGTTTCTCTTCTCTGTTTGGCTTAGGTTGACAAATGGAACAGCTGGCAAGGTGCCGTGGTCTCTACTTTCATGATTTTCCTGGTCCTCTCCCTCCTCCTTTGCTGGGCCCTTTAGCATCAGAGCAGGAGGGAAGGCAGCAGGATAATGTATATTGTCAGTTTTTGGATCAAAGTCTAAGTTCCCAAACAGCAAAATACTTGAGCTCGAACTTCCCGAGAAACCACGTCCCTGGAAGCATCCATTGCCATTGGAGGAAAGAACAATGGCCAAGCATGTCCAGGCTTTCTGAGCAGCGGCTATGATTGACTCCTGACACATAACGTCAGTTTGTCAAAGACTCAAGTTATCTTTCCCCATTTGGTGGTTTGCCGAACAGTTACCGTTCATGTTTCCTAATGGCTTCAGAACAGATGCGATTGTGAGCTGGTAGGAAGCATCCTAACCCATCTCCTCCATCCCTAGAGAATTGTTTCTAATATTAACAATTCTTTTCTAAAATTCGTTTCTGACATTAACAGTCACGTGAATTCATCGACTTTTCTCAAATAGATTATTGACATCTAACAATGAGATGTTATGCTTCTTCTCGTTCGACTGTTAAATATTATGAATTATATTAATATATTCTGAATGTTGAGCAAACTTTTACTTGAGTATTCTTTCGATATACCACAGGATTTGATTCACTAATAGTTTATTTGAGACTTTGGCTGCTGTGTTGACATATGATATTGGCTCTGTATGTATATGTGTCACGTCTGGATATGAGGCTCACGTTGATTTCAAAAAAAGAAAGGGAAACTTTCCTTGTTCTCCAATACTCTGAAAAAAACTTAACTAGAATGGAAATTGTATTATTGTTATTATTTTCTGAAGTTTTGAAAGCATTGATTTGTAAAATTATGTAAGCTTGAAGCCATTTTGAGGCGAGTTCTTTAATAACTTTCTCAATTTCCTTCATGATTATGGACCTCTTAAGGGGTTCTATATTTTCTTCCATCAAGTTTGACATTTTATGTTACCTTTGAGGATCATCTATTTTATACACAATTTAAAATATATTTGCAAAATATTCAAATGTTTTATCGAATTATCTTTTTGTGATCTATTCATTTTTTTCTGGATCTGAGGTTTGAGCTTCTTTTGTATTTCCAACATGATACGTGTGCTTGCTTTCTGCTTCTTCATTAGACCACTTAGTGATTTATTTATTTTAAAGATAGCTTGTCTTTTTATTTTATAATCTATTAGCTTTATCTTTTATCACTCTTACATCCTATTTCCGTTTGTTTTACTTCTTACAAATTTTGTCTTGAATACTTAGTTCATTTATTTTTATTTAATTATGAAAAACATTGAGGCTTAAAGAAGGACTTCTCTTAGTCCATTTATCTGGGAAATTACATTTTGCTGTGTTGCACCCCCAAATTCGTTGTCTTCTTAATGCTTTATTTCTCAAGTTAATAACCTATGGAGTGAAAAAACACTGTCGGGCCTGGCCTGGTGGTGCAGTGGTTAAGTTCATGCAGTCCACTTCAGCAGCCTGGGGTTCTCAGGTTCGGATCCTGGGGGCAGACCCACACACTGCTCATCAAGCCATGCTGTGGCGGCACCCCACATACAAAATAGAGGAAGATCAGCACAGATGTTAGCTCAGCGACAATCTTCCCTAAGCAAAAAGAGGAGGATTGGCAACAGATGTTAGCTCAGGGCCAATCTTCCTTAACAAATAAATAAACAAATAAATACTGTTGATTCCTACCTTATATGCAGTAAGGAAACTGGCATACTGAGACATGCTAACATCTCACCCGAATACAATCCCCTTAGTTTCATTACTGTTCTCTGAAATTTTCCTCTAACCTATTGCAGTTAATATATTGGAATTAAGTACTTTTCCATACAAGAATTGCATTCTATTGAGTACCTTATTCGTCACTGTTATTTGGATGTAATTCAAGGATGCTAGGGTGAGGCAAGCCAGGTGCTCAGGGAGCAATATTTAAGGAAGCACTCTTTCTCAGGCTCATGCAAGCACACATGAGAGTGAGTTCCTCCTTAATTGTGTGCCCTTCACTCTTCTGCTTACTTTAGCCTAGCCCTGACCATTGACATTTTTTTTTTCATGACTATCGCCTCCCCCTTCTTCTTCTCAAAATCTTTCAATGGAGATTATTTTGGAACAGTACTTGGATAATCCTCTGAGTCCCAGAACAGCAGAGAATTTCTTTCTTAAACGCCCTACTGTCATTATGGAGCCTTAAGACGTTAAAATGTTAACATAGCCAGGAAACGAATTATTGTTTCATAAAAATTTCAAAACAGTATTGACTTCCTGCTAGTCTCTTCTGGTGTCTAATATGATAGGGAAGTCTGGTTAGTCAGCTAATTTTTGTGGGAGAGATACATTTAGGGTAGGTGCTATGGGATTTTCTCTTTACCCTGGAATTCCATACTTTCACCAGGATGTTACAAGGTATTAATCACTTTCAACTGATGTTTCCTTGAACATCATGAGTAATTTGCTTTTCAGCTAGTGGTCTTAGAGTTTCCTTCAATTTTGTTTTAATTAGTGATTTTTCTCTATTTGTTGAGAATCCCTCATCTATATATGCGTATGCTAGACCTTGATTGTCTATCATTTAGTTTCTGCTGATTTTCATTCTTGGACCTTCTACTTTGCTTTCTCCATGGACCTCTCAATGCTGGAGGCACAGGAGCACATTTTCCAACGTCTTGTCCAAATTCTATAAGTTCCAAATTTTTTCCTGAAAATATGCCTATGTCCAGACTATCCCTCTCCCCTTTTTGGAAAAGAAAGGCAACCCCACCTTATTGTGATGCAATGCCCAAAGTGTAAACACTTCTTGGTTTTCAACAAAGAGATAATTCCAAATACTGGTTTGGAGATAACCTGTTAATGATTAATACGTTCATCTGGCTCTTGGTTTTCCTGTCTTTCCTTGTCTGCTGTCTGTTTTTATTATAGGAGAAGATTGGCCAGAGTTGGAATGTTCTGAATTCAGAAGAACTGAAACAGAACAGGTTAGGAAATAGATTCTTTCAAACAAAGCTGGAATATTTTCCCAGAACACCAAGTTTCAAGATATATTTGATAAAATCCTCAGATAATAAAGATACGTGATTACTTCTAAATTTTGTATGAATTATACAATAAAGTGGTTAAAACTTTTATTAAAATCAAATCATGTCATTAAATATTTATTCTAATTGTAGTTATTCTTCAACTTATTTCATCTTATAAAATGTTTAGTGTTTTCTATCACTTACAAAACAACCCCTCTATATTTTTGATGAAAAGCATTAGATGTCAAGTTAAAAATGTTCAAGGGGGGTTCCTAAGGTTTTCAAAATATTTTTACGTGGTACATAATCAAAAGAGTTTGCAGACCACTTCTCTATACAAATTGTCTATTTTTAAGCAGCATCCATTCTGACATTTATAATTTCTGGGTTTTTTAGTAAGTTTCCATAGCAATATTTGTTAATTAAAATCTTTCTTTAATGCTACCAGTTTCCTTTTCCTGTCACTGCAATGTCATATCTTGATTTTTATAACTTGCTTCATAGAATCTATGTTTTGAGTCCTTTAACAAAGTTTTAGGAATTTTAGAAATTTGCTCTTACTTCCTTGAGAAAATTTCAGGAAAAATGTGCCCATCATCTATACCCCATGATATTAATTTTCTTTTTTCATATCAAGTATTTTTCAAAAAATGTTTGTATCAGTGAGAATTTGGGGGTCGTGGTTACAGAAACCAGCTCTGGATTGTTTAAGCCACAGTGGATATATTCAAAGAAATTGAAGTGGGGGCTTCTTCCAGGATCAAAGTGAAACCTGAAGAAGCAGGCAGCCTCAGATGGTCTCAGCTATAACACCTTTCTCCATTGCTGAAATAAATGGGTTTGACCCTTTTTCTCCATTCTCTTGTCCCTCTTTTCAATATTTAAGGTCTCAGGAAAGTATTTAGTTGATGGAATTTAGGTAAAGAGCTCACTCCTTAGCTTTAACAGACCTTGGAGATCTGATGGGCAGAGTCTCAACCAACCCTTTCAGATTCCAGAGGGAGGTCAGACCACCATGATCCACAATCACAATGTGGTTACACATACTGGGCAGGAGATAGTTCCCCAAAATAAAGCTGTGATGCTAGTAAGAAGGGGTGAAAAACCTTGGAAATATGTTTATATAAAACCTATTTTGTTTCTTTCCTAATTATTGTAGAATAGAACCAGTTCTGCCTACGCCAGGTCTTTGCCAGGATAAAGCGAGGATGGTTTCTTCTTGGGAAGCCCGCTTGCCGCTCTACAATTCCTGGGACCTGAGCTCTACACCAAGTGATGGCAGTTTATATGATGATTAATTCATTTTAATGACTTGATTGTGCAAAGGGAGCAGAGTCCATGGACATCCCCAGCAGGTGAAGGTAGTGGCTTTCCTCAGTTTGTGTTGAAGCCACTTTCAGAGTGTTCACATCCAGTTGCTTTTCTGAAACAAGAAAAGTGCCCTCTCCCTGTTGATATGTGACTCTTCGGTACCATAAAGTGCTCCCTACATTTAAGGGTGAATCATCCCCAATGGTCCAGCACTATGGACTCATCTCCACCTCTAAACTCGGCACCTGGGGGAGCCAGCATTGAAATTGAGTAGACATAACATGGACGTAAACAGAAACCACAGTTAAGCAGAGAGGCTGAGCATCATTGAGATTAGTGAACAATGTCCTTACTTACAACTCTGTTATCACCCAGATAATTCCTGCCAATTTGGCGTCTGGAGCTGTAAATTTTGGTGGGGTTCTTGGAACCAATCCCGAGGGATGACTGTTTAGCCATTTCAGGGGGTAGTATATGTGGATGCTGCCACCCAGAGGTTGAATGTAAATGGGATCTTTAGCCTCAAATACGGATACAGGGAAG